GAGTTAGCACAGTGTAACACGTGGGTGTGAAGCTATCCGTCAAGAGGAACCATCAAGCATGGAGAATCTTTAGGATGATTTCAGAGCATTTCTGCAGAAGGGTTCTGCCTATATTATCTATGCCCAGACAGTCTTGTAACAGAAAACAGGAATCTTTGACCTGCAGAATGCCAGAGACCATCTTCCTCTGTGGCCTGTGCTGTTTCATCACCGTTTGTTCACTGACTTCCTCTCAGTGTGTTCGACTCTGGGCAGGTTTTAGGGACACATTAGGAGACAAGACAGATGCAGCCCCTGCTGCAAGATCAATCCGAAAGTCAGGAAATGAATAAAGCCATTTAGCCACTGATAACTGTGGTGAAGAAAATAAAACAAGGCGATACGAGAGAGAGAGTGCCGGGGAGTTCGGTGGTCAGGAGAGACCTCCCTGGAAATGGTCATCTTGTGGGAGGCTGCTCAGGACCAGCATCCCCAGCACAGGGAAAGGACAGTTTCAGAGGCCTGAAGAGGATTAGCATCAATTCTGTGCTTTTTACTTTAGCGTAGTGGGACATTCCCGAGTTGCGTTTACAAGCTCTTTTTTCCGACTTGGCCTGGCTTTCTACCAGGCGGTCATGATTTCGTTTTCTCTCTGTGTTTCTTGCTTCTGGCTTGAGCTCAGCTCCTGCGTGGGCTGACTGGTCAGCCGGGTCGTACCAGATGAACACTTGTTCTTCCCAGGTCTCCTCTGCCGGAAAGTCACTCGATTTTATTTCATGTTCTCTTTCTCTGTACGCACGGATTACCAGCAACAAAAATACCGTGAAAGTAGGTGGGTCAAAGTTTTTGTGATTTCCAGGTTGAAAGCCCACATCAGGGTCCGTGGTGGTAAGCAACAGCGTCCAAACGTGGTTACCTTGGGTGGAACAGAGCAGAGCAGACAGCCTGGTGGCTGGAGAGCCAGACTCGGGGCAACCTTGGCAGGAGCAGATGCTTAAACTGGTCACTGAGGGCATTTCTGGGGCTACTGCAAGATGCTGATGCTGCAGCCAGTGGACTCTGAAGGTGCCAACAGCCCTGCTGCCTCTGTTGCCGAAGAGGACACTCCAGGCCGCCCCTGCCGTCGGCGAGCAGACTCGTCACGCACGGGCACACCCATGTAGCAGCGAAGGCTCATGTGAGCAGGTGTCCGGCTTTGGCAGCTTCTGTACTAAGAGCCGGGCTCTGCTTCCCACCCAGACTCCCTGGGCCCAGGATATCCCCAAACCTAGGAAAGGGTTTCAGAGACTGGAAAACCACTAAAATAAATGGCCATTACAGGGTTTGTGATTTTCGAGCATACCCAGGGGATAAAGGACCCCACACAGTGGGAACTTCTTCTCTGTTTAGAACGATTATTTGGGGCAAAGAAAGTGCTATTGCAAGGTGGGACCAGTAAGGGGTATTGGGAGAGTGGGGGTGACCTGGCTCGGCTGGACGTGAGAAGGAAGTTAGGGGAACCCTTCAGAGATACGTTGGAGCCAACGTGCGAAAGCCATGCTGAATATGTATTGAATGTTTGGCCTTGATTTTTTAAGTAAAAGGGTTGTCACTGAACATTTTGAGGTAGAAAATCACCCAGGAAGAATATGGCTTTAGAAAATTAATTTGATAGGACAGAGGAGTGAGTTCAGTGTTTACTACTGTAACCCCCGTGGGAACTGAGGCTCTGGGCAAGGCCGAGGAGGGATACCGTGAGGGTCTTCTAATTCCCGGGAGGAGGGGAGCGGAGAGTTGAGAGAGGTGCCACAGCGGTGGGAGCCCCAGGTTTTCCATGCAGGGTGACTGGGAGAAGGTGGCATCATCGGGGCAGGAGGACTCGACACGGGGGTGGGAAAAGAGTGGTTTGCTCGAGATGGTTCTGCAGCAAGCCGGGCTCCAGATGGTGAATTTAGGAGTCAGAACATCACGGTTCTACAACATTAGAATGTGGAGATGGTCTACTCTCGTGCCCTCATTTAATTTTAAAGATAATATAAAATTTATTAGTTTGTGTTTAGTAGAGAAGACAGTAGATGTACAAAGAAAAAAAGCAAAGATGGGCCGTAATCTGTTTTCCAAATAATCCCTCTTGATTTAAAAAAAAAAAAAAAAAAACCACCATAAACTGGCATAGTGCATGCACAGGACTAGCGCGTCAGGTGGTGTAGGCAAGCTCAGAGAGAAGTGCAGAAGCCCCCCTCCGGGACGCCGCCGTCGCCGAGGTGCGCGTGGTGACGAAGGGAGTGTGCTGCGCACAGCTCTACCTTTCCTGTTTTTCATACCATTTTCAAGATGTATTAAGTTAAAATGCATGAGATTGTCTTCCTCACAGTCCCACACATCTTAGGCATCTTAGTAGTATTTCATTTCATGGCACCTAACTCGGAGTCTGGATAGCGGCCAGTGGCCACAGTGTCCGCTGTGCAGGGCCATCTCCTTGCACTGGCCCCTGCCTTCTCTCCATCTCTCTCCCACTCCTCCCCATTAGAGACAGGACCCTTTCTCCAGGCTGACTGTTCTGTCCCCTACCTGTCTGCCCGCTCCTCTTGGGCTGCAGTTCCCCTGAGTGCCACTGTCCCCAGGAAGCCCTCTGTGACCCCAGAGTGGTCAGGTCACCTCCCCTTTCCCTACATGAGCTGCTCCGTGAGGGCAGGGCCCTGTCTCTCAGTCACGCCGGTACCCCGAGTGTGCAGCGTTGTGCCCGAGGAACGTTGTCCACGGCAGTATGTGCTCTGACTTTGGGCAGATAAACATGCTTATGGTCTGGAAACATTTTGATCTAGAAAATCACCCAGTGATTGTAACTGTAGAGATATGGAGCCATTTGCAGTCACTGCTGTAAAAGAAAAGTGTTTTTGACACTTGCTTAAGCCAGCAAGGAAGACTCCATTCAAGACTATTGCAACAGGGGAGGACTCGACTCCAGTGTGGCAGGGACGAGGGTGGATGGAAAGCCGAGGGCAGGGTGAGGGAGTGGGTGGAACGCCACTCAGGGGAAGTGGATTAGACGTCAGGGTGGAGGAAGGGGCGCTTGGTGGGGTCTTAGGGGATACACTCAGCAGGTCTCTGCTCGCCAAGGACCGGGCCTTCTTGAGAAAAGGACTCAGGAACCTGGCTAAAGTTCGGTCAAGGAGGGGTCATTGCACTGCCAGCCAGAGGAGCCACGTGGCAACGATGCTCTTCAGCATCTGCTGCCACGTCCTGAAAAAGACAGGCAAAGCTCTGCGCAGCCAAGCGTCGCCGGAGAACGTCAGCGGGATCCACATCCAGGGCGAGCTTGCATTGTTCCTGTGTTTCAAAATAGGAATGATAAAGTATAGACTCCACCCTTCCTCCCAGGAGAATCCTAAAGACTGATGATGCTTCCAGAAAGACCTGTCAGGTGTTTCAGCTCCCGGGCAGTGGGTGCTGGCGTCGTCCTCTGAGACGTCGTCTCACATGCCCCTGGTTACGGGGCTAACCCGACCTGCCTCCATCGGTGACTTCAGTCACGGACATAACTGAGCTCCGTCTCATGGGGCACTCTCCAAGCTGATTTCGCATCCTTACCACTCTGGGTATTGAGTCAGCCAGGGTGATCGCACAGCCCTGCGCCCGGGGCACTGCTGGTTTTTGCCTGTTTTCCTGAAGTAATGATTTAGCAGAGCCTGTTTTCATTCTTGGACTGTCCCAGTTTGGTTGATACATTATGTGGCCCCTTGGCTAGTTGTCCCTCTGCAGAGAGACTAACTCTGGGCCTAGCACTGCTGCCCTGATGTGAGCCACGATAGATCCCCTGCAATGACTAGACATGAGCCATCCGTTTTTAGCGAGGCAGCCGGTGGTCAGGAAGATTCTCGAAGAAATCAGCAAACATGAAGAACCGTACTACAGGCTCTTTCGACTTTCTCAGTGGGAGTGAAGGAAGACGGGAGCTGCGGGGATGGGAGTGGCAGACAGGAGGGTGAGGCTGGGACATCCGGGGATCTGTGGTGAAGTGTCACCAAAACCGCTGGGTGTATGTGCTTGGAAATCATGGTGAGTGATACAGTGAGCACATTTTAATGAATGGTACCGTGTCCTTATTTAAATTTTAGAGTGTCCATGCAAAGTGCTGGCAAGACAAGAATTTGCTTCCTATTTCGCAAATCATGGGTGTGAAAGAAACCACCCCCAGTTCTCATTGCTGATCTGCTAAATCATTCCGTATGGGGGCTGGAGGTGGAGAGGAGGGCTTGCCCAGAAGTCTCTGTTTTTAACAGAGTCCGGAGTTCTGATGGGGAGTTTGGTTTGAGAACCACTGCCTTGGACATTTTGCAACAAAGATGTTTTCTTATTAACTTGCATATATTTGCAGGTTGGATCATGTATTTAATTATTTAACAACCCCTTGTTGACTGTCATCCTGGCCTGGGGCTTGGGAGGCAGCAGTGAGCGACAGGATTCGTTTGCTGCCCAAGGAGTTTTCCCCGACAGACAGATGGGCCTTCACCTGGTCATGCCCTCGCAACAGCATCGCCACCCAGGGGACACGGAGGGCTACCAGCACTGAGTCGGGGGCCGAGTCGGGGGCCAACCCTGGACTCAGGGCTCAGGACAGGCCAAGGGTGAGGTGGGCGGCAGCGTAACCGCCTGCAGCGGGCACCGTGTGTGCAGCGGGCACCGTGTGTGCAGTGGCCTCGTGCAGCAGAGCGCAGGGCTGCGGGGCCGCCAGGGCTGCGGGGCCAGGGTGGGCAGGCGGGGCAGGGGACTTGGGCCCTCAGAATGCCCACCAGCACTGCAGGGCTGCAAATGAGGATGACGGGGTCAAAGCCGGGCCCTCAACCCAGCGAGGCGACGGGCACCACCTGCAGCCTTCCACAGGCCGCTGGGGGTGCTGGGTCGCCCGCGTCTGTCAGGGCGGGGCTGTACTGGGGAAGCGCCTGGCCTTTGCAGGGATCCTGCTGCTGGGTGAGGCCCCTTCCGCAACACCATGCACTGAGAGTCTGCCAGGCTCACATCTGTGTCTGTCTTCCTCCTAGATCCTGCCCGGCCTGTACATCGGCAACTTCAAAGGTGAGCTCTTGCTGTTTTGTTGTTGTGGCAAAATACACAGAACATAAGATGTGTCGTCTTGACCATTTTAAAGTGTGTAGGTCGGTGGCTGTAAGTAATTTGCATTGCTGTGCAGCCGTCACCAACATCCTTCTGCAGGACATTTCCCGTTCCCAAACTGAAACTGTGTCCCTGTTAAACACTAACTCCCCATTCCGCTCCTCCCAGCCCCGGGCAGCCACCATTCTGCTTTCTGCCTCTAAGAATCTGACGACTCTCAGAGCCTCCTCCTAGTGGAATCACACAGTGTTTGTGCTTTTGAGATGGGCTTATTTTAGTGAACACCGTGTCTCAGTTCATCCATGTCACAGCAAGTGTCAGAATGGCCTTCCTTCTTTTTTTTTTTTTTTTTTTTTGAGACGGAGCCTTGCTCTGTTGCCCAGGCTGGACTGCAGTGGCCGGATCTCAGCTCACTGCAAGCTCCGCCTCCTGGGTCTACGCCATTCTCCTGCCTCAGCCTCCCGAGCAGCTGGGACTACAGGTGCCCGCCACCGCGCCCGGCTAGTTTTTTGTGTTTTTTAGTAGAGACGGGGTTTCACCGTGTTAGCCAGGATGGTCTCCATCTCCTGACCTCGTGATCCGCCTGTCTCGGCCTCCCAAAGTGCTGGGATTACAGGCGTGAGCCACCGTGCCCGGCCGGCCTTCCTTCTTAAAGCCGAATAGTATTCCATGGTGTGCAGAGGCCTCATTTTGCTTCCATTTATTTGTTCGTGGACATTTGGGCTGTTTCCACCAAAAGTGAGTTCACTTTCTAAAAGATCAGGTTTAGACTTCTCATAGGTGAGACTGACAGGCCAAGTGTAGGCTCAGGCTACGGTCTGTTCTGGGAGTGGCCACCACGTGCACCCAAGCCCCTCGCTGGGTGCACCCCAACCCCTTGCCCGTCCCCCGATGGAGTGGGGTGAGGCTGTGAGGCTCCAGCTCTGCCTCAGGTGCTCCTTTTAACTCTCCACACCCGTTGGGACATTGTCATCAGAAGATGGTGGACAACAGGCACGTTCAGCAATCACGTGACCGACTTATAACCTTTGACCACTTTCATTTTTTAGTTACTGTTGAGAAATTTTCAGAAGCCTGTTCTTTTTAAGTCACCCGGGAAACAAGAGTGACAATTTCATTTCTGGCAGATTCTCCTCGTCTGCTGCTGCTGCTCTTCTCACACATTTCCTGCCCCTTGTTCGGTACTGATTGATTCGCTGTCGGCTACTGACTCTATTTTCACTCAGCTCTAGAGCTCGGTGGTCCCTGGGCCTGTCGGCTTCCAGGGAGGGGCCAGGTCCGCCTGCCAGGTGACATTCAGAGTTTGTGTAAGTGAATCACTGAGATGAGGTGGGAGGACAGAGATGAGGGGCCCTTAATAGGCTGGGAGGGGCTTGGGAAGCTTGCAGACAAGGCCCCACCGTGTTAGGTTGGACAGAGCCGGACCGTGTCGTCGGCAGCTCCTGCTCCTCCCTTCCCTCACAAGCCGGAACTTGGCCACTCCTGTCGGCTTTCTGGATGCTGCTGAAATTTCCGAGTTCAGATTCAAACTGATTGTGCAAATAATCTTTATTATTTCTCTGCGCTCTGTATGATGTTTATTTCCACACACCTCCCGCCCCATCTCCCTCCAGCTCACTCATTGGCCTCCAGGAGAATTAAGCACAGAGCTGACAGCTGCTGATTGTACAGCATGTTAAAAATAGTACTGGGCTTGCTAAATTAGTAAGCATTGTGGTTCTGAAAAAGCAGCAAACCTGTTGTGGGGGGCAGGCCGGGGGACATTAATGTAGCGAATGTCAGAGTTACTTAGTGAGGTATTAACTATTTCCATGGGGAAAGGGAGTGTCTTTGAGAACAGAGTTTAGGATAAGTTCTTAGAAGTAGAATTGCTGGATGAAAGGTTTGAAATTGAACATTTTAATAAATATGAACCAAATTCAATACTTCTGACAATAGTATGTGAGAGTTTCAGCCTTAATCATGAAAGGTTACCTTTTCTGGAAGGATGGCTTTAAGAAAATATTTAAAATTCTTTTCATACTACACGCTACACCTGTTTTCTAAATATTCCGTGACATAGGACTCCTTCCAGCTTCCTGGGTCTCGTGCTTTGTGGTTTAGTCTCTGAGAGTGCTGTGGACAGCCCACCTCCTCTCCTTGTTCTTCGGGTCGATGCTGTGTTAACTACCTTGAGTTATTCTGATGTTGGCATGAGGTTGTGTTTTATTCACTCGTTAGCCAAACGTTTATTAAACGCTTTCCAGGTACAAGGCTTGTCTGAAAGAAAGGAAGGAGAGTGCAGTGAATTGGCAATAGGGCTGGAAGGAGAGGAAGTATTTTCCCCCGTTGTGCTGTGAATTCACTTGTTCATTGCACAAGCTTGTCGGGAGCACACAGTGTGCTGGGAGTTGGATGTGGACCAGTGTCCCTGTCCTCAGGCTGTCAGAGTCCAACAGCAGGTGCAGAACAGGCAGGGGCCAGTGTGTGTCCTCAGACGAGTTACACACCGGGGGGTGTGGACTGGGAAGATGGCGTCTGCCTCACAGGGCTGTCGCGGGGCTGACCCAGATGATGGGTGATGCCCTTGGTGGGCTCAGTGCCCAATACCTGGTGCCCTGAGAAATAAACACCCACATACTCACTGCTACTGCCATGGGGCCCGATAGATGCCAGGTCTGCAGTAGGCAGCTGGGTGGCATTAGCTGGCAAGGGTGGAAACCTGTGTGGAATGTGGCCTCTTTCTTTTTTCCTGGGCAGTGAATCCAGCTGTCATCTGTGCTCTCGCCTGGCATCTCATATAGTCATTTATCTTGCTCTTTTAAAATCACAAGTAATACGTACCTCTTGTAACACAGGAACCAGGAAAGTGGAAAGGAACGTGGACAGTCACTCCCTTCTTCTGTCCCTTCTCCTTCCTCCCCTCCCTTCTCTTCCCCTTCCCATTTCCTCTCTTCCCTCCCCACTTCCCTCCTTTTTCTCTCCCTCCCTTCCTTCCTTCTCCTCTTCCCTCCTTCCTTTCAGTGGGATCCCTCACATGTCACTCGGCAACCCTTAAAAAAAAAAAAAAAAAAGCTTTGTAATGAATCAACAAATGGTTTTGCAGCACCTGGTGACTATTCCTCCTGGAGAAGACCCACAAACAAACCCAGCTCTGAGCCCGGCCTTTGGGTCTTCGACGCTTTGGTGAGAGCCTCTCTGTTGGGGCTGCCCACACGCCAGGAGGGAAGCCAGAGAGAGCAGCCCCTCCCTGGGCCAGAGGGTGGGTCCATGGCTTCCTTCCAACTGGGCACCAGCAACAGTGGATGTCAGCTGACAGAGGAAGCCCTCGTTGTTTGAAGATGTCCACAGATTCTAGAAAAGAGGGAATGCTCTTCGGCACGGTGTGTTTGCCGGTGGTGCGTGTTGAGACCATGTTCGCAGTCTAGAGCTTGTGTTCTGTGTCTGCCAGGGAGACAGACAGCCCTGGTGGGTACCCAGTTGTTTGGACAAGGCCAGCCTGGTCAGAGGTAGTCTGCTGCCAGCTCGCTGAGACAAAATAACCATGCTCCATAGGTCAGCATATGTCTATCCAGACTTACCTTTTCCACATGGATCCCCACTGGTTACCTTCCTGTTGGTTTTATGAGTTACCAGCCTGTTGCATTTGTGATTGGCAGTTGGGGAGGGGCCACTGGCACCAGGCCGAAGTCCGTCCCCTCTGGGGCTCGCTGTTAGGGTGCACGTGGCCTTCTGGGGTTCCCGCTAAAGTGCACGTTCTGATCAAGTAGACCCGGGGTGGAGTCAGCTGCGGGCGATGCTGTGCTGCCGGTTGGAGTAGACCCGGGGTGGAGTCAGCTCCAGGTGATGCTGTGCTGCCGGTTGGAGGACCGGGGTGGAGTCGCCGGCGATGCTGTGCTGCGGGTTGGAGGACCCCGTGCTGAGCACCAGCGTGCTAGTTTTGCCCCTGTAGGTCTATGCTCAGGAGGAGCGCGCTGGAAATATACAAGCTTGTGTCTGTGCCCCGAGGAAGCTCCACCCTGGGCCTTACAGATGGATTCCCAGCTCGTGACCTCGCTGCTCCCTGGCCTTCCAGGACAATCAATAATGTGAAGTCCGCAAGAAATAAAGTTCCAGGGTCATCACCCAGCAGGTTTCATTAAGCATTTTATGCACTCGAGTAAGTGGGCAGAGCCTGTGCCTCACGGGAAGGGATGCATCAGCGGACGTGGTGCGAGCGTGCAGTGAGGAAGAGGAGAAGCGCTGGCCCTGGAGTGCTTCCCTTTGCTTTGGAGTCCAGCAGTCCGCTGGCTGTTGTGTGATATCGAGTGGTCTTCTGTATTCAGAAAAGTATACTTTTTTTTCCCCAGGCCACTTTAAAAAGATTCACTGTGTATTTGTATTATAAAGGCATTTTACTGGGTGAAGAGAATGTTCTAAAGTTATGATCTGTGACGGTTACGCAGCCTTGTGAACGTATGAAACCACTGAATCATGGACTTGATCAGGGTCCATATTATGGTATGTGAATTATATCTCATTAAAGCTGCTGTGAAAGGAGCAAAGTAGATTGAAACAAATACGGATTGTTAAAATTCGAACGCCAGGCGGAATGGGTGTCAGGAGGAGCCAGGCGGGAGGGTAAGATGAGCTGGCCCCGTCAGGCTGCCCCACATCTGCTGGGTGCCTGTCCCACCTCCTGCGGGTTCACTGCTTGTCTAAAACGTCCATGCTGGTGGCGATTGGAAAATCCCATTTTGGTGTGAATGTGGGACTGGCTGCCTGTGGCTTCCAAAACGATTCTAGCTTCTGCCTAATAAATTCTAAGCCAGCCCTGCTGGTACCCCAACCTGTGAGGGGTGGGGCGTTGGCAGTGAGTCTGCATGTGCTGTGTAGATGGCTCCCATCCATAGCAGGGGGCTTCGAGGTAACTGTTTAGCTCGAGCGGGAGTGAGAGGCGACTGTTCCTGCATGATGGATGCCTTTCTGAGCCTGATAAAGGGCTCGTGTTCCTCATATAAAAAGGTTTTTTCTTTCTCACTTTGGGTCAAAAGATGAGCCGGTCAGAGATAAACTGAGGCAAAATACTGGAAAGCAATAGCCCTAAATTGGAAGCTCGAGAATTTGAATCTGGGAAAGCAGTATCCTGGAATGTGAAGCCTGAGAAGTTGGAGCAATGAAAAGAGTCTTAAAATGAAACTGGTATTTTGATATTAGTTAAATTTTTTTCCTGACGTTGCTGAATGTTTAGAACAACGTTTCTTGATTTCTGCGTCCTCATCAAGGCTTGTTGGAAATGGAGATGCCTCAGCCCCGGGCTGGATCAGGAACTAAGCTCTGGCCTCCGCCTTTCTAACTGAGCCTCTTGATAGTTCACAGGGTGTTAGACTTCGGAGCCACTCATGTAGAACACACACACACACACACACACACACGCGCGCGCACGCGCGTAAACGATAAAGAAGGAAAAACCCACTTGTAATTCCATCTCTGAGCTGGGGCTGCCTTTGTACCAGTCCCACCATGCTCCCTGCTGTGTTTGTCTCTGTGCTTTTATACGTTGGGTTTGTGTCACATTCATGGTTCACATTATACCCTGAGCATTTTCCCATGCCATGAAATAGTCTCCAGAACCGTGACAATTAAACGTTTGCCTTTCTTTGTTGTTGTTGTTTTGTTTTGTTTGAGGTGGACTCTCACTCTGTTGCCAGGCTGGAGTTCAGTGGGGCGATCTCGGCTCACGGCAACCTCCGCCTCCTGAGTTCAAGCGATCCTCCCATTTCAGCCTCCCTAGTAGCGGGGATTACAGGTGCACACCACCACGCCCAGATAGTTTTTGTAATTTTAGTAGAGACGTGGTTTCGTCATGTTGGCCAGGCTGGTCTCACACTCCTGACCTCAGGTGATCTGCCTGTCTCGGCCTCCCAAAGTTCCAGGATTACAGGCGCGAGTCACCACGCCCGGCCTAAACATTTGCCTTTCAATCCATTTCTCCTGTATCATTTTGAAAAGCTTGGCCAGGCTGGGATGGGGGCGCAGGGCAGTGGACCTCCTGATTTCCTGCTGGCCCCTGTTTTGTAGATTAGTAGAAGGTTCCAATTCGGGGGATCACACCATTCAGTCTTCTTTTTGCAGGTGGGAACATTGGAAGGGAATATAATTTTATTTTCTTCTTAGTTTCATATGGAGATAATTTAATAGCCAACTGAGAGCTGATAGACAATTCTGTTTGGAATTTCCAGAGCGAGTTTCATTTTCTAATTGTGCTTTAAGGTGAATCTAGATGATGTAAACCACAGGCCTGTCTGATTCCAGAACTGTCCATGCTTTTGACATCTGGGGAAAGAAGTAATGCACAGGCTCCTTTGTCTTCCAGAGTTAGTGGTTCTTTTGTATTTAGCTTTTTAAGAATTCTAATCACTAACAGGTCATTGAATTTAAAAAAATATATTTTAAATATCCCTAATATTATGTGTCTCATGCAAAGAGACTGACCTAAGGTCGTCTCTTACAAGCGCTGACTACAAAATGGTCTCGTAAATTTAGCTTCTTGATGATGTAATCCATCATGATTACAACGTTGATTAATCGAAGTGCACTTCAAGTTCTAGATTAACACTTTTTTTGCCTAAAAGGAAGAAGCTGAGGCAGAATTAATACAGAGAGTTTATTTGGGCCAAGCTTGAGGACTATAGCCTGAAACACACTTTCAAGTTGCCTTGGGGAGTGCTCCGGAGAATAAAATAGAGGCTCAAGTTTTTAAAGAAAACAAGGCGAATCAGGAGAGTGGTGATTACAAAAACTTGTTCAGCAGGAATTCTCATTGGTTTATAGAAGTGACGTTGGTTAATGACTGGCTGTACGATATTGAACTGTGATGTGCGGCATCTTATGGCTCCTTGGCATCAGTCTAGGGACCACATAGCAGATGGTTCGAGGTAGCCATTTAGCCAAGCGGGAGTGAGCGGAGGCTGCTGTTATATTCCAGAGGCCTTTCTGTGCCTGATCATTTCAAGGGACTCTTGTTCCTCATAGAAAGTTTTTTCCTTTGTCACTTTGGGTCAAAAGATGAGACAATCAGAAATAAAGCTAGACAAAAGGTATGAAAGCAGTAGCCCGAAATTCCCTACATGTATGGTCAGTTATGAAGTTTCAGGAAAGAAATATGCAATTCATTTTGTGGGTTTTTTTTTTTTTCTGGCTAGAGTTTAGGAGTAATTAACTTGCAAAGATATCAAAATGTCCATCCCCTTTCTTCTCTGACAGATGCCAGGGATGCGGAACAGTTGAGCAAGAACAAGGTGACACATATTCTGTCTGTCCACGACAGTGCCCGGCCTATGCTGGAGGTAAGAGAGCAGCGGGGGCGTGTGTGGGTGTCTTCATTTGTATCCCGTGGGAGTGCGTGTGACGTTCACGAAGGCAGCCACGTTCTCTCCGTGCGAACCTGCTCCTGCGGTCTCTGAGGGTGTTCCCATTGTGCTCAGGCCGTATTTACGTTACCGCGCTGTCTGTGGCGTGGTGCAAGGGTGTGTGCTTTTTCTGATCACCGTCCTGCTGCGTTGCCACTTTGGCTTTCTTGGCTAAATGCCTAGCAATAAGCTGATGCTGCATTTCCCACTGGACCTTACGGACATTTAAAGCCCATTTTCATTCCTTTCAGAGTTATCTCTGGTTTTAAAATCCAAAACGCTTCAGCCTGCTCATTTCCTGATTTTGTCCCATTTAAGCTGAAATAGCCACCATTGACATTCAGGGGTAAAAGAAAACAGAAGGTAAATTGTGCCTGGAGGTTTCCCAGGGCCCTGTAACCTGGAGACTCGTGTAGAAGCTGTTGTGTTTTAGGTTTTCAGGGTAAACAGGGTGTGTCTGCTTGTGCACTAATTCCAAAAACATCTTTAAATTTACCCTGATGGACGGTTGGAGCTGTTGGCTAGAGGTAAAATCTATTTATGTTTATTGGCCTTGACAGAGCCCAAGTTACCTCCTTTTAGAAAATAATGCTGTGTGGTTGCGATGTGTCTGTGTTTTTCTATTTTAGGGTGGGGTGTTGGAAAGGGAGGGGTGACTTGTTCTGAAAGAAAGAATCCTGGTTCAGGCTGTTTTCATTTAGATTTCTATTAGGCAAGAGTAGGTAATGTTTTTTAATTGTATCTATTCTCTTTAGCCATAAAGGCTGCCAGATTTTAGTTAGTATAAAGCAAGCTAAAACTAGTGAGAATGTAGAATAATAAATGATTCTACTAAACATTGTAGTACCAGAGAACCATAGATGGTGAACAAACCTCAATTTCTCCAGATCGCCGAGCTCCTACTTCCTTGTATTGTTTAGCTCATAAATTTTTTTGGTAAGGTGCCGTAATTTGTGTTCCAGCGTGATTTTATTGGAAATAACAACAACAACAAAACAGTTTTTGGAGCCTAACAGTTCCTTTGAAAATAGCCATTTTTTAATCTATCAACAGTAGTTTGTATTTAAAATACAGCCAAGCTATGGCCAAGATGGTAAGTTAAACTGCAAACTGGTCATGATTGACTTCCTCTTAAATCACAAGATGAGGCTTGAGGTTTCCTTTATTTTAATAAATTGCAGAGATGCCCTCTCCACCCTCAGCCCCCAGGCCTGCCTCCCTGCCTTACACTCCATTTAATGGAACACACTGTCGTGTGTGCACATGACCCTTAAATCTGCTCCCATTGTAACCTCTGTGTAGACAGGAGATCTGCCAGTGTTAGAAATCAAAGCTCCAGCCCTTGTCACTCGGGAAGCCACAGGCTGGCGAGTGAAGCAGCGGGGGTTGTAACTCAGGTATAAAAAGCCCACCAATTGTGTAAAACCTCAGAGGTGCAGGCAAACTGTGTTCCCAGCACAACACACTGCAGATGCTTTTTTATTCCCTTTGTAGCTCAGTCTATAAGGACAAATTCTGCCATTAAAAAGAGAGAGAAGTGCTGCCCTTTTTCTTCACTGGGATGGCTTTTTCTTGGAGACATCCTGTTGTGGTCTCTGGGTGCTGTTATTATCTTAGCTTCATAATAAGTACTTCCATGTGATTTTATATTTATTAAGTGTTATAGCACTGTTTTGTAGCATAATGTAGTTTAGTATTGCCCCCTTAGCATTTTATTAATCTTTAAGTTCGCAAGTAATGCATGGTCTATTCTTATTTTAAAAATTAAAACAACAGCCTCTGATTGCACAGTGGGGAAAAGTGAGGCACCAAAGTTACTTGAATTGGTGGTGCCCACACTAAGTTATACTCTTAGAAGTTTCAAATCTTTGTTTAGCTGTCTGCCTGGGGCATAAAGGCAGCCTTCTGTCTTGAGTTTCAAATCCAGATCTGGAAGCTGTGTCCTCACGCAGCCCGAGATGAGTCAGGGAGATGATGTGTTTGCAGTCGGTGGGGAATTAATGGATGGGTTTGATGCCTCGGCAGCTCCATGTTCTGCCGGCCTGATCCTGGGAGAGAAACGGGGCAGGGATGAAGGTGAGCGGGGCGACTGTGCGGGGCCAAGCAAATGCAGTGCGCTGACCCCCCGGTTGGTGAGAGCCCCCAAGTGAGGGTGAAGGGATAAATGGTAGGCGAGTAGAGAGCTGGGCCTCCTCTATTTTCTGAGATCGTCAAAACCACACGTGTTTATTGATGGCCGCTAGCTTCTCTGGGCAGCCCCGGGCTGGGGCTTGGTAGGAAGTGGGAAGGTAGCTCCTGTCTAAAATGGAAGGGTTTTGGTCTTACTACGTCCATGCAGGTGTCCCGCGAGCCCTGCTGCTGTGAAGCCGTGTACTGGGCACTACACTGTGGATACTTCTTTGGGTCATTTCCAACGAACATCTCAGTGAGTTTAAAGCTCTGGGGTACTTAGCATCCATTACAAAGGTCTTTTTTCTCAAAGAGTTTCTGCTCTAGTTCTACGTTTATTGTGACGAAGACTACGTGACAGAGGGTATTCATGTTGTTGGACGTGGTCATGCAAGTTTAGAAAACTTAGCACACTTTGTTCCCCTCTGGAAGGTTCGCGGTCGTGTAGTCAGAATAAAGGCTTGAGAGCCCTGTTGTGCAGACATATATCGGCCTTTGTGAGCCGGGAAACATGGTGTGTGCTTGCTTATGTGATGCGCCTCCTACTGAGACCCCCCTGGAATATTCCCTGTGAAATCCAGGGGATCCAAATAAGGAGGCCCCCATGGGAGCCTCGGGGGTGAGCACTGGTCCAGAGGGTTGCTTACGCAGCAGCTGGGCCGAGGCACCTGGGTGGGAGGGGAGGGTGCCACTCTGGGCTTGTTGCTGGCTGAGGCTGCCTCCGTACATAACGCTGCCTTTCAATCCTGGTTTACTTGGTTTGTTGTGAGAACCTGCCATAGGCAGAATGGAAGGTTGTACAGTTTTTGAGTCTGTTCCATCCTCTCTGGAGATAATGATCTGTAACCTGTCACAACTCCTGACCAACGACTGTGCTATGAAATGCACCCGCTACGAGAGATCTGATGAAGACAGTTTTAGTCCTTATACACTTACTGAGTTTACGTAGGAAGGACCTGAGGAACTTGGGACTTGGTTGCTTTTGGTTAGATTAGATCAGACTCCATTATTTGGGTAATTTGCTGGGGGTTGGGGTTTCCCAAAATAGCATTCACAGCATCTTGTACTGTTCCTCCAGCCTGGCTGGAGAAATAACATGGAAGGTCTGTTCTCAGGCCTTCAGAGTGGCTGTGCCTTGGCTGCGGTCAGGGAGCGGCTGGATGGTCTCCAGTGCATCTTGGGTGGATGAGACAAGGTGTGTTTAGCCCCTGGACCATGAGGGATAAGGTGGTCAGCCAAGGGAAAAAGGCCTGTGTCTCCAATTTCTACCTCTTCAGAAGAGTGGCTGAGGAGTAGACCTTCCAAAATGAAGATCTTAGAAACGTAACAGAAACCTGGGGACTTGCAGGCTTTCTGGTCCGCCCTAAAGTCACATCTGAGATTCTGAGCAGCTCTGGCCCGTTTCTGTGCCCGCCGCTGTGTGTCTGAGACAAGTCCCAGCTAAGCAGGGTCTAGAGGTCAGCAAGCCCAGCTCCGTCGCTGGGTGGACAGAAACCTGGAAACCTGGATGACGGGAGACATGAAAGGGCTTGCCTGGGGTTCATTTCCACGGCCGTCTGGATAGCCTGATGGAAGCCGGGAGTCCCCGTTCAGACCGGTGGTTTTCCTGGCATGCCTCGCTGCCTCCGTTCTCTCCTGGCACGACCGATGTTTCTGATATCCTTAGTGGTATTGGTAGATCTTACCAGATCACCTTTGAAAAAGGTTGTGTGATTTGTGCTTGTTCTAGCAATGTATGAAAGTGCCTTTCCCCCCTACGCCATCACCAGCACAGAGCTTTGATCTTCCCTCTTCTTTACTTCTAATTAGCAAGATTTTTGCTGTTATTTGCTGCAAATACCCTCTTCACACATCCCGTCCCTTTCCAGATAGTTCTTCCCTTTGAAGACAAAGGGTTACTAATTTATTCATTTCTTGAGCCCCTACTACGTTCCAGGCCTTGGGACAGGTACTGTGGGTAACAGAAATGAGTTCATTCCAAGATCTTCCCTGGCAGAGCCTTTGGTGTATGCACAAGATATGCGTTGTAGATGCTTTATAAACATTAATGGCAGTGAGAGAAGAGCTGTGGCTTGGAGCAGGTGCAAATCCCGTAGGAACAGAGCTGGTGGAAGCCCAGAGAATGAGGTCCCTCTTCTGCCGCCAAATCTGGAGACATCTGACTGGGCCTTTGGCGATGCCTAGGAATTCAGAAAATGTGACCCCTGGCCTTCCAGCTGGTAGAGAATGCCAGGACGTGACCCTCTGAGAACCCTGAGTCCAGCAAGGTGGATGGTGTTATTTTGGTGCCTCTGTGGCTTACCCAGGCTGGGCGACTTCTCATCATCTGTCAGCACGTGGCAGGGCCAGGGCTGGAACCGAGGCCTTCTCACTACAGAGGCAAGGGTTTTGCAGCCAGCCATAGCCCTTCAGGAGTACACTTTTGGTATCGAAACTTTGGAGCACATGATGCTGGTAAAATGGTGGAAAATCATTGCCACGTATATTAATTTCAATAGAAGGTAAGCCCAGACCTGCTTAAGAGGAAAAAACAAAATCCTCCTCCACCTGTTTCCATGCTTCGGACTTTGTCAGGGGGTTGCTCGTGTCTGCTCAGAAGTGTCTCCTATTTGTGGGGCTGGGCGGGGGCAGCGTCTCCAGCATCTGCTGATGGTTCTGGGTTTGAGGGTTGGTGAAAACTCCGGTTGCAAAGACAGTGATTTTTTAAATCAGAAACCCGATATTGTTTGTAGTTGCTGAGAAAATAATATTGGGCAATGAAAGGTTTC